GGGGGGGGGGGGGGGGGAATGACTGGATTCTATGAACAAACAGTAAGACTATTTTTCTGTTGAAATAAGCTTATGCTCTGAGTTGACATGTCTCCCTGCATTGGTCACCCAAGAAATCTATTTACATGCACGAAATAAAATGTAGATGATCCACAAAGATATATATGTTTTGTATACTTATTTCATTTCAATTTATGTGAAAAAGTTTCAGTAAGCAAGCTTAAGAAGAAATGATGAAAACTTTTGAAACTTATAGCTTTAAACATGCTAATAATATTTGTGTGACTATAAGACTTTTGAACAAGCAATGAACGAAAAGAGGAGGTGCAGGGCGGTGGGATTTTAGGGTCATGTCATCCCATAAGTCAGAGGAAAACTATAGGCGTAAAGTTTGTTTCAGAAGTAGTACAATGCAAAAATCTTAGTGATCCATTTTCAATACTCCAAATAGGAAAAAGGGCTGCAAATTTACAATAGGTGAAGGGCCAACATCCTCAATTTCAAAGTTACTTATGGTTCGGGCTCCTGTATTAGAAACGAGATATAAAGGGGAAGAAAATTTTATCTCTGCACATAAATATTTAAAAAAATAAAAAAAGAAATCTGAACAATCTCCACCAAAAAGTTTGAGCACTTACAAGATGATGGGACTCGGAGGATGCATCTGTGAACATCGTCGTAATTCAGTTTGAACAATGATACAAACAGTTAATCAAACCATCTCCACACGCAAAACAGTAAGAGTGAACAAACCCAAAAGAGAAGCACAGAGCTCAAACAATCCAGCTGTGGCAGGATGCACTTCATTGACCAGCCGATGGGTTTGTCAACAATTCAAGTGATTTTTTGAGGTAGTCTACAGCAATAGAAACATCATCAAATGCCAAAGCCCCGACAGCAAACCTTGCAGCCTTGTGTGCTTCAGCAATCTTATCTGGTGGAGGTTGGTAACTGCTGTCGTATTGATATGTTTTAGTAGGAATAGCTGCAGGCTCCGCTGCACTCCCATTTCTATCACTTGAGTTGTATTGGCTGTTTGATGGATAATTAGCCGCGCTAGATGGAGGCAAAGTGGAATAGGAAGTATCAGACCCTTGATAGTAAGAAGGCTGATGTGATGGTGCAGCAGGTAGGCTGCTCTCTGTAAAGCTAGGATACGACTGGAAATTGGGATATGAAGAGGGAATGTCTTGAGAAGGGTAGTGCTGTGGCAAGTGCGATTGGGGTTGTTGCAAGTAAGGTTGATGCTGATACAACTGAGAGTAAGAAGAATTTTCGTGTCTGCTAGCCGGCGGAGGTTGCGGGAAATTATGAGAAGAATGATCTTCATTAGAAGGATAATCACCACTAGAATATGAAGGATGAGACGGAGGAGCATGTGAAGGAGGTGGTGGAGGGATGGACGGCGGAGGTGACTGACTGTTTGCAGTATACTGTACATTGTCATATAATTGAGGGGAAGAATCTGATTCTGGCGCAGGTTTTATGGCTGAATTAGCTCCACTAGGTTCAACATCCTGCATAAATGAAATAGTCAGATTTGTCCATGATACCCAGAACTATTAAATCCACTAATGCTGTAAGAAAGGAACTAATTGTTGGCATCTATCATGCATGTAAAAGTTTAGCTCCTGACCTACTGAAACACAGTCAAAGATCCTTTTATGCTCAATTATTTTACAAATAAGATCTCAAATTTCGATTCAACAGAGGGAACAAATACAAACAAAAACAATTCTTAACAGACACAAACTAAAGAGTAATCCTTTTTAAGATTTATCTAAAAGTATGGCCTTTTCTTCATACTTGATCCCAAAATAAATAAATAAAAATGGCCTTTCCTCATAAATGGAAAAGTTACTCAAAGCCACTGGATCACCATGCTGATATACCTTTTTTTATAAGGTATGCTGATTACCTCCCACAACTTTAAGTAATAGGACTATGCTTAATCAACAAATTATAAATTGTAGCACACTCGGTGGTCTACATATTTAAATAAAGTTCTCATTTTATTTTAAATATAAGTTGCCAAAAACTGAAAGTGGGATCATACTTCTAAATATATTTTTCAAAAATATGAAAAATTAGATGAAAACATGACAATTTACTAAAAAGTGGGTAAGTAGAGATACCACAGCAATTAACCAGAAATCTATAAGTTAGTGGCATGAACACAAGAAATTTTGGGTTAGACTTATATGGGAGTCCTTTTAGGGTTTCAGGCAATAGTGTAAGCATGAATCATACGTATTCACCACTTGGTGCACTGGACAGCTCCGAAACATCACTTTCACCACCAGGAGGGCCTGGAACAGGCTTCCGTCCTTCTTTTATAGCTTTCCTTATATCTGCTGCCTTCCAAACAGCATACTTCTGTTTCTGCTCAAGCTGGTGATGAATAAAGGAAGTCAACAAACAGAGGCTATATGGACACAGGAAAACATGTTGTTTTTTTTCAAATTTACAAAATTCAGAGGCCAGAAGGATGCTGGTAGAACGGTGATTGTAATGTAAAAGGATGAATACTCAAAATTGCCATGGTATGATGAAACTCACATCAGGCTGGAGTTCACCAAACTGATTAAGGATCTCGAAAAAGATACTCGCTGCATAAAACGTCTTTGCAGTATTCCTGTAAAACCCAGATAGTTTATGTGAACAACTTCCTAGTCATCAGATAACAATCAACATTCACAGCATAAAAGTGCTGAATAAATGCTTTTTCAATTAGTAGGACATATTCAATATGTTGCACAGAAAAATCTATGAACATAACTAAAGTCGGAAGGTCGCCACGAATTATTTTAACAAATAAAGAGGGAGGGTGGAGAAGTCCCAAAATTCCAGCAAATAAATTTGAGGTATCTAAGAGTAAAAATGCTAAGATATTAATAAAGAGGCCAAAAAAGAGATAGCACTAAGAATTTCATTATATATGTTATGCGGCATGAGGATAGCACACCTAAACCACATACAATGGACGAAGTGCTACCGTTACAAAGGACCAGCCTATGACCATCGATTTTGATTAAGAAAAGTGCAATTATAAACAGAATTCACTTGGTGTAGCTTAAGTGACTCTTACAAGTCTGCTCGTCCAGCTCGATCTTGTTTGTCTGCCTTCGCAAAAACATTCAAGGCAAATCCCTCCAAATGCAAATGATCATCAGGCCCCAATTTCAACGACATTTTATCCTGTAGAAATACAGAAAAATGATTCACGAGAACAGAAAGATGTATAACATTAACACTTACGTAACTCCCTAGCTACGAGCTCATAGAATGTTAACCATTACGAAAGATCTACTTTAATTTAGCCTGATCAATAGATTGGTCAACATTTGGCCGACCCCAACCTTGAGCGAAAACATGTTAAAGTAAAACAATATCAGAATTCCTATTACATCACAAAGGATCCTACCCAAGTGGTGTCTACTCCCTGCGAAATAATTTGTTTATCATATAGCAATCAAGGATAATATCTCTATGTTCAATTTAAAAGAAGAAATGCAAATGGCTGTCCATGTCAATATTCCTCAATTTCTATTCCTTACCAATATGGCTAGATATTCTCCAAACATAGCGTTCTTTCTTGATGATCCTTTTATAGCTCATGTGCCAAAAGTTTCTAACCATTTAATCTTACACCCAAGTGAGTT